CATGCAATCAAATCATTGAGGGATTCTAATTAAATAGGCTCAAGTTAATATTATTTTTTTGTTGCCTTTTCAAACCAGCTTTAAAGGCAATCCTTAACTTTAGGCAGCAGCCAATAAAGCACTTAGAGGGCATTTTAATTCCCTTTCGACAAATTAATTTTTTCGCAGATTCATCGACAGAGAAGTTCTAGAGCACTGCAGTTCTGTCAGCTTACCTTAACCAGCATTACCCACTGACTATGAACTCAAAGATGGAAATAAAATATTTGCCCAGAGTTGACTTGGACAAGCAGCCTCAACACCAACTCGAGGCCGATGCCCAAGTTTCTTTGGCGGAGTACCTCGAGGATGGAGAGCCTGAATGCCGTCGAGGCACCTTGAGCAGTCCCAGACCCACGTCCGCGGAAAGCGAACTGGAAAAAGAGCAGGGGCAACAAATACGGGATAGATTCAGGCTGGTGAGTGCAGACAATAAAAGCTTAAGTAAGAGAAGAAGGATAATCGCCGATCTCAGTTTAGTCATTGCCATGCTGGGCTTGAGTCTCGCGATTGCCGACTTGGAGCTCGACGTAATTAGAATAAATGGGGCCCCTCGGAGCGAAATAAGCAAAGAATTAGTAAGTATACAACCCTTAAATAACAAATAAACTCATTCATATTAAAGCGCTAATTATAGGTTATCATTATATTTATTTTAGAAGGCTTCCTTTCCGACTTAAAATGCTCGGCAAAGTGTATAAAAACTAATTTGTTGAAGCATATGTATAATCTGTTGTCATATCGGTTTATCTACCAAAGCCATATTTAACGTAACTACCACTAAACTTTTCAGCAACTTTTTCTCTACATACGAACATTTGACTGTTTCTAGTCGTTTAAGTTTACATTGAGGTATTTGAGGTCTTTAATCTCATTATTTTCAGTGTATACTTGCTTGGACTCATAAGGATGCCCCGACTAGATGAGTGCAAGCGGGAATAACTGACTGAGGCGGGACTAAACATAACGTTGAGAAGAGTGGACAGAACATCCATTCTGAAAGCTTGAAAAGACATAATTTGTCCATTTTTTGCACAAAATGATGGGAAACTTCTGCGTTATAAACATTCCTGAATAGCAGATATTGACCACCTTGGGATGTATTCCAGATATTCTAGCCATTTTCACGTATTTTAGTCCATAAGTAGGCTTTATTCTCATACATACATGTTTCATGAAACTGTAATCATGAGTGCATGTGAAATGAAATAAGATATTAGACTGGCTGATGATGAGAATTGAAGTAATCTTCAGGTGCAACATGTGGGCCTGTTTGATTGGTATGAATTCGCTGGTATAAACTAAATTTTGGTTGCTAATATTGTTGCGTAAAAACTTATGTCCCGATTGTGTGCAATTATGCTAAGCTCTTGACTTTAAGCGATTTAGCTAATTACTAAGGCCATCACCATTTATCGACAAAACTTGCAAGGGCATAGAAGGCACATTTTAAGCCAAATTAAAAAGATGCATGTAGACGATGGAAGAAGGAAATAGCGAAATAGTGTTTACTTGGGGCTAGAGATGGTAAACTGCTGGCTTGGCAGTGGCTTGCTACATTTGTGGGAAATTTAGGTAAAGCCAGCGAAAGATTCCAGCTAACATTATGAGTCTAGGCTAATTGTGGTAAACTTTGCTAAAGGATTAGCTTGCTTGATTGAGTTTACTGCAAA